CCCCCCCCCCCCCCCCCCCCCCACTCGGTCTCTAGCAATTTGCTCATTTTCCAGGTGGAACGATGAAACTTATGTCCGTTTTTTCCTGATTGATTCATTTAAGTTTGTAAGATTTTTCACCCCTTACAAAACTTAGATTCAACACTCAAAGGAAACTTTGCTTAGAGGCCCAAACTCGTTTAGGGTGTGTTTTCTTTAAGTATTAAAAAAAAAGGATTAAAAAAAATATACCTGGTTTAACCTTATCCCTCTTTACTCTCATGTTTGATACACACTTTGGGTCCGGTATTATCACTTAGAAATAATCAAAGTCTAGATGAATAGTGGATTTATATCCACATGTACCTTCTTAAATAAACCCACTTATTTTGTGGGTTTAAATAGTCTGGTTGATGTATATTTAGACAAAAGACATTTTTACCCTTTGGAATCTCTAGGATATAATTATCTTAATGGCTCTTTAGTAATTTAATGTTTATACCATCATTTAATATTTCATTCAAATAAAATATTAAATGGAATAAATGTATGACATATTACTTCTTAATATTTGAATCAAATATGAGATGAGAAAATATTATCAATATAATTAGTCCAATGCCAGAATAGATGGATATGAGATGAAAGAGTTTGAGCGCCCAAAAAATTGATACCATTATATTAAATGAGAAGTTTTCTTTCCTTATCTTTTTTAATTATATAATTTGAAATTAATTTTTAACCATTGTTTTTGACTTAAAAAAATCAATATGTGTACATTATCGTATATGAACAATATCTGAGTCAAAAATTAAATAATACAAATTGTGATAAAAATGAGTAATGCGATAGAAATAGAGAAAAAAATTATACGAGGATAAGGTTCAAAATCTTTACTTCCTTATTATATAGATTTTAAATTGCTCATAATTCAAGTGGGGATTGCTAAATAATAAAATTAGAATATTGAGTTGATAGAAAACCTATTTGGTCCACACATTAACACATAAAACAAAGGTGTTCAAAGGTTAAGATGCTTTTCTAGATTTGGAAAAATTTTCCGTATTGATAATATTTCAATGGCCTCCTTTGACTGATGAAAGCTTAAAAGATGTGGTTCTCTCTCAATCTTAGATATACATTTTTTTTTGGGAGAATTACACACCAAAACATTATTTTGTTTGTCACTTAATCACTCAGACGTCCTCACATTTAAAATATTATACATAGACCCCTTAAAATTTGTACGCGCGTAACACTTAAACCCCTATTATACATATATCCGTTAATAAACTATACTTAGACTCTCTTAAAGTTTATGTATATATAATACTTAGATCTTTTAAGTTTAAAATATTATACTTAGGTCAAAAATACTTCAATCAAATATTTTAAATTTTATAACCAAAATTCATGTTTTATTGTATAATTTATTGAAATAAAATTAAAAATAAAAAATTAATTTTTTCTTAAAAATATTGTAATTAGTATACAATTATACTATCTATTATATACTAACTATGTTTTTTTTTTTTTAAAAATAAATTTTTATTTTTGATTTTATTTTAATAAATAAAATAATATAACATAAATTTTAGATGTAAAGTTCATGTTCTATTATGAATGACTTAAACTAATTGTCTGATTTTTTAGTTTTATTCTAATAGATTGTATAATTGTTTAATAATTATAATTTTTTTAAGAAAAAATTAAATTTTTATTTTTGATTTTATTTCAATAAATGATACAATAGAACATGAATTTTGGTTCTAAGATTTAAAATATTTGATATTTGATATTTGATTGGAGTATTTTTGGTCTAAGTATAATATTTTAAACTTAAGGGTCTAAGTATTATATATCCACTAACTTTAGGGGAGTCTAAGTATAATTCATTAATGAATATATCTACAACAGGGGTCTAAGTGTTACACGTATACAAATCTCAGAAGGTCCGTGTATAATATTTCAAATATCAGAGGGTTTGAGTGATTAAGTGAAAAATTTCTTAGGCAATAATGTTTCATGGACTTAAAAAATAGACTTAAAAATTAGACTTGATAATCTCAATCATTGAATAGGTAGTGGGTCCCAATAAATATTGAGACCCACAATGAAATCAATGGTTGAAATTATCAAGTCTAATTTTTTAGTCTATTTTTTAAATTCATGTAGCACTACTCTTTAAAAAATTATGAAGGGTTTATTGTTGAACTGAAAGTGAAAGAATAAAAAATAAAAAAAAATTTCCATAAAATTAGAGAGATTCTAGGATTATTCGAGGTGCCTGTAAAATAGTTCGAACACCCTGAACGTTGAAAAAAAAAAAAAAAAGAAAAAGAAAGAAGAAGAAGAAGAAGAAGAAGAAGATCTAATGCTAGGGCCTACAGCTCAAAGAGTCCAAAGACTGAATTGAACAGGCTACCTATAAACGACGAAAAAGAGGAACTAATCTTTAACCAAAAGTACTAAAAATCAAATATTTAGTGTCATCAATTTTGACTATATGCTATTCCCTTCCTTGTCTTTTAAATGGAGGTTTGAATATAGAGAGGAAAAAAAAAAAGGTAGCATCCTGAGTTGGCATAATTTGAGTGGGACACACCAATAGATTATTTATCATTATTATTATTAGCATTAGATAATAAGATTCGAATCATGTCGTTTACAATTGAGTAAACATAGTTTTATAATTTGCTCGCTTTGTATGATATGTAGCCATTGATTTTCATTGTAAGTGTAACATATCGCTATTACGTTGTTTGAAGTTCAAATAAATGACAAATGACTCACTAATAAAACAAAAACGGGACTCGAAAGAAA